TTTGCCATACAGACAGTATAGAGCCAATATTCATAACTTAAACTACAAGATTGATACACACATACAGACGGCATAATCATAACCAGTAAACCATAACCTAGACACCCCATTTGACCCCCTTTATACAAGATTTGGGTGCCACTACAGGACCTTGGTTGCAACAATGATCTATACGGTCCCAGTTTATGTCAATAACGTCACACACACACACACCCCGGTATTCACTGGTTCCTTTTCCATTTCAGAGCCGAAGTCCAATGTGATCCCCATTGTGGCTGGAGTGATTGGTGCCGTGGTGGCTGTCGTGCTGGCTGCAGTAGTCGGAATCATCACCTGGAGGAAGATTGGCTCAGGTAGAGGGCCTGGGGGGAGTAGGGGGGGTTTTCTGCCTTCTGTGGACTGGCTGGGCCATGCAGCCCTAAGGGCAGCAGCAGTACGGAGCCCAGGGTCAGTGCTGTGTGACCGACCCTCTGGGGGCTGAGCCAGAGGCCCCGGGGTGGGAGCTGCTGCTGGGCCAGACCCAGACACTATAGAGCAGTGGTGGGCAACCAGTGGCCTGCAGGCCACACGCAGCCCGTCAGGGTAATTCATTGGCAGGCCACAAGACAGTTTGTTTACATTGATCATCCGTAGGCATGGCCGGTTTGCTGTTCCCGGCCACTGGGAGCTGCAGGGGGCCGCGCCTGTGGACGGGCAACGAATGTCTGCAAAATGTCTCGCAGCCCACAATCAGATTACCCTGACAGGCCGCAGGTTGCCCACCACTGCTATACAGTGAGGGAGGGACACTGCTCACACTGAGATGTCTTCTCCCCTGCCCCTTGTACTTGATCTATTGTGGGCCCCTGAGTCTCTGAGCCCCAAATGTCAGTGCTGGCCTGAGGGCCTCGTTTCTGGGCTGTGGGGACAGACGGGAGCCATCTCCTGCCTTGGGAACCGCACTCACTGAAATCTGCCCTTCTCTCTCTGCAGGGAAAAAGGGAGCTGGCTACTCACCTCCAGGTAAGTAGAGAGAACCCCCCCACCCCACACACACACACCCCTCACCCCCTCTGAGCGACTGTCTGTGCAGCTGTTCATGTTGACCCTGTGCACGCCGTTCTCCCCCGGTTCACACAGGCTGGAGAAAAGTCCCAGAAAGTGACACTGAAATTCCATTGTGAGCTCTTCAGATCCAGTGACTCTCTACTCCAGGCCTGTTTCTGTAACGTTCTTGGCTTAGCTGCTGTAGCCCAGAGGTCCCCAGGGCCCAGAGGCAGCTCAGTGTATCTGGGGCTAGTGATGAATTATCATCCTCCCAAAAGCTAATACCTGTGAATCTCACACTGCTTCTGACATGGCTGTGAATGGGGTTTCGGTGCCTGTGAAATCCTGTTACATAATCAGGGAAAGATGAAGGGGTGTGAGGAGAAGAGTATCTAGGACCCCCCCCCCCACTGTTCTTCTGGGAGACACTAACCCCCTCTTCTCCTCCACAGGAAGTTACCACCGATCCAACTCCTCCACAGAAAATAAGTTGGTCGGTGAAGGAACCTCTGTCCCAGGTGAGTTGCTCTCAGGCCTTTGGGGGAGACACCTACCCTGAGTCACCCAGGCCCTGCCCCTTTGGGATCTTCAGACAGTGCAGCTCCCAGATAACCCACATGTGAACAGCACGGAGAGAACCAGGACTTCAGGCTTGAGCGTCCGGAGCCTCTGCAGCCACTGGAGGGCATCACACACTGGTGCTCGTTTAGCCAGTGCCAGACATGCTAGTTTCCCCATGACAGGGTGAAACAGCTAGGAAAGGATTAAGGGCTGCCTGCTCAGCAGGGGAAGGAAGGAAGGGACATGGGAGGGGAGGGGAGGGGCAGGGGGAAGGGGTTCTGGGAATTGCTTTGCTGGGTGTTACTGCTCTAGTGTTTTAATAATAAATCAGGCCCCCAAGCAGATGTGGGGCTGGTACTGGTTCTTTCCTGGTCTGGTGAGAGCCACCAGCTTACATCCCCTTAACTGGGTGGTTCTTGGATAGGGTGGAACGTGGTAGGGTTTGCTCTTCGCAGAAGGGCCCAAGGGGGGGCCCTCTGCACAAGTTGACCTGCAAGGCACCCCTCCCTGATCCATACAGACACAGCCCTGGGATCAGTCCTGATTCTCCCTCTGCTCTATTTGTGCAGCGTAAGGGAGCGGGTCAGGCTGCAGGGATCCCAGGGAGAAGAAACCAGCACAGACTGATCCGATCAGCACCTTCCTGTCTCCGTTTGATTCCCGCAGTGTCCCGTGGAGGTGTTCCAGCTCCTCTCTGCCCACTTAGCAGCTGCGTGCTTTGTAAATGTATTGTTAGAAAAAATTAATGACGGGATTGCACAATGTATTCTCAACATGAAGAATAACAAGAAGCATATAAATTATGATTCTTCTTACAGGGTTTCTTCTCTGAACACTGCTGTTTCTAGCTACTGGTGCCCCTGTACAACGCAATAGCTGATTTTGGGTGTGGTGACACTTAAGTTTTTGTTGTTATTATTAATGCTTATAATACAGTAACTGAGTGTCGTGCTCGGAGCTGGTAGCACTGTCCCCATCAGCAGCCTGGGAAAGCTCCATGGGGCAGGAGTAACTTCCTGAATCTTTGTTGTTGTCTGTATTGTTACAACATACTTGCAGACAGGTATTTTGAAATACATTTTTAAAAAGTAATTGACACTGGTGTGATTATATTGTGTTATTTTGACAAATAAAATATGCAGAATTTTAAAATATTGTGTGCAGAATTTTTAGTGTTTTGTCACAGATTTCCCCAGCAGTGATTTCCTGCTAGGTCTCTGTGCTGCCCGGGCCCGGCTGCCAGGGGATTTGCTGGCTGCAGACCCAGCAAACAACCCGCCCTGATCAGCCACTAGACGGAGCCGCAGCCGCTGTATCATGTGCCCGTGAGTCAGGCCCTTTCCGAGAAATCACCCGGGAGAGGAGAAACCTTCCCTGGCTGGGCTCCGGGGGGCGCTGCTGCCTCGCCGTAACCCAGCCCGGGCATC